CCCTCACCGCCACCTCCCAGCCCGCCTGCGCCTATTTCCATCACCACCCTCGCCGCCTGCGCCGTCGCCGCCGCCTCCCTCGCCACCACCGCCCTCGCCGCCGCCACCCTCGCCACCACCGCCCTCGCCGCCGCCACCCTCACCGCCACCGCCCAGCCCGCCTCCGCCGAGCCCGCCACCGCCCTCGCCTCCGCAGCCACCCAGCCCGCCTCCACCCAGCCCGCCGCCGCCCTCGCCACCACCGCCCTCGCCGCAGCCTCCCTCCCCACCACCGCCCTCGCCACCACTCCCCTCGCCACCACCGCCCTCGCCGCCACCGCCCAGCCCGCCCCCTCCCAGCCTGCCCCCGCCGAGCCCGCCACCACCCTCGCCTCCGCCGCCGTCGCCGCCGCCACCCTCGCCACCACCGCCCTCGCCGCCACCGCCCAGCCCACCCCCTCCCAGCCTGCCCCCGCCGAGCCCGCCGCCCCCCTCGCCGCCGCCGCCGTCGCCGCCGCCACCCTCGCCACCACCACCCTCGCCGCCGCCACCCTCGCCGCCACCCCCCTCGCCGCCGCCACCCTCACCGCCGCCGCCCAGCCCGCCTCCGCCGAGCCCGCCTCCGCCCTCGCCTCCGCAGCCACCTAGCCCGCCTCCGCCGAGCCCGCCGCCACCCTCGCCTCCGCCGCCGTCGCCGCCGCCTCCCTCGCCACCACCGCCCTCGACGCCACCCCCCTCGCCACCGCCGCCCTCGCCGCCACCGCCCAGCCCACCCCCTCCCAGCCTGCCCCCGCCGAGCCCGCCACCACCCTCACCTCTGCCGCCGTCGCCGCCGCCTCCCTCGCCACCACCGCCCTCGCCGCCGCCACCCTCGCCGCCGCCCCCGTCGCCGCCGCCACCGTCACCGCCACCGCCGACGTCGCCGCCGCCGACGTCGCCGCCGCCGTCGTCGCCGCCGCCGCCGACGCCGCCGCCTCCGACGCCGCCGCCGTCGTCGCCGCCGCCGCCGTCGCCGCCGCCTCCGTCGCCGCCGCCGACTACGTCGCCACCGTCGTCGCCGCCGCCGCCTTCGACGCCGCCGCCGACGCCGCCGCCGACAACGCCGCCGCCGCCGCCGCCGCCGCCACCGTCGCCGCCGCCGCCAACGCCGCCGC